CGCCAAACCAGTGGTGAAGGCTTTTCCTGACAAGACTGCACTCTGCACTTCTCTCTCCCCGAAAAAGCAGGAAAAATAGACTATAGTAGAAGAGCGGGAGAGCAATCAGGTTGTTTTTGCTTCTAGGATATGGAAATGAAGAAAGAAATGGGGGGAAATTAAAGTGCAAAACTAAGACATTGTGGTCTTAAATACAATGGGTAATTAAAGGATCTTAAGAGATAACTAATTACACAAAGTGAATTTGAGTAGGCAGTCTGGTACAGCACCCTGGGGAGCGATGATTTTCAAGACTTGGGAATCAATTTTTTCATCACTGAGTTTTAGTGTATGATAATAGATCTATTATAATATTCTGCACAGTTATTAAAAATGGCAAGCAGTGGGAGAGCCAAGATTTACTTCACTTGTTTGTCAAGTATATTTTAGGATTACCCTACTGTTTGATGAGTCTCTGAGGCCAGAAAGCTACTTTTTCAGACTGTGGCTTTCAGAATCCAGTAGGCGCCATAAGTGGGTCATACTGGCCAAGGGGTTCTGGGAGGTGTTTGGCAAAAAAGTAAATTTCTAAATGGTGTTGGAGGCAACATATAAATACAGGTAATAAAAAGAATGAAATGGTTCAAGTTACAAGGAGCTGCCAAAGGCAAATAACAACAACTCCATTACAATTGTACAACGAGAGTGCTGCCACACAAAATGCCTTGCCTTGAGTGCCTTAAAATCTCACCTCTCTAGAAGATGAGAGACACAACAGGGCTTCCAATGATGAACTGACATTCTGCGCACATTCCTACAGGGAGAAGTGGTCTTGCTGATCCTCTGGCGACAAGCCACTAAAGGCTTTATAGGTGAGAAACAACACTTTGAATGAGGCTCATAAACAAACCAGAAATCCATGCCACTCTTTCAAGACTGATGTCAAGTGGTCAGTAAAAGAGATGCCAGATAACAATTTGACCGCCCTGTTTTGCACCAGCTGTATTTTCTGCACACATTTCAAGGATACTTCCAGATAGAGAGAATTGAAATGTGAGATAATTAAAGCATAGATCACTTGACTGGATCCATTTTATTCGTGAAGGCTTTCACAACCGGGATCTAATGGTTGTTGTGGGTTTTTCAGGCTCTTTGGCCATATTCTGAAGGTTGTTCTTCCTAACGTTTCGCCAGTCTCTGTGGCCGGCATCTTCAGAGGACAGCACTG